AAACTAAAGTGATTGCATAGGTTTCATCACCTAAAACTTATGCACATAGAACTGAAATTTTTGAAACTGATATTTTATAGCACAGTTCTTTTTATAGCAGAATGTATTTGCTTCATGGCAGTTATTTTAATATTCTAATAGTAGAAATTTATTTTAAATTATTGATAGTGACAAATAGTTTGATCAGATTCAACAACCTAAGTAGTTGTAGTGTTGGAATTCACAGATTTAGAGCGCTTTCCCTAATTGAAGGAGGAGGGGTAAAAGAGAGATTTATTTCTAACTAAAATGCTATATAAAAGTAAAATCCAAGAAAAAAATTCCACACTGGGCATAGTTGTCCTGACAGTTCCTTTTTTGGCTCTAAGTTTAAAAATATATTCTCCAGGGGACATGGATGAAGCTGGAAACTATAATCCTCAGAAAACTAACACAGGAACAGAAAACGAAATACTGCATGTTCTCACTCATGGGGAGAAGAACATGTCTTAAAAAATAAAAGAGAGGCTATATCTGTAATTTGACAAATTAATATAGTTATCTCTATAAAATGCACCTTGACTTAATCACCCTGGTAATATAGATTTGTTTCCCTTGAAAATTTAAATATCTCGCAGTATCCTTGAGAGTTTGCTGTGTTGTCCTGGAACATCTAAGCGCTGTTTGGGAATCTCAGTTCTGTGCCATGCAATGAAACCTGCTTTAAATAGCTCAGTTTATTTATTTATTTATTGTTAAGTTTATTACTCTCTTGTGTAAAGCACAAATAAATTGAATGAATATGTAGTATTAGGTAATTCTCAGTTATTTGGGAGATAATATTCAAAATTAAGTAATCATCTTGTTAGAAATTCATGGCCTTTGTGAAAAGTTAGATTAAAATGGACAAGTAGCCTGTTTAATTGTACAGATGATTCTGAAAGTGTTAGTCACATGAATAAAATTATAGATATTTAAAAATCATCCTCATATGATATTGTGTAATATTTTTATTGATAACTTTACTATAAATGTAATTATTGGTATCATTATAAGGATTCTCAAATAAAATATGATACTTCACTTATTTTTCTCTATAATTACATGGGTCGTGGTTATTGGAAGATGAATGGGTTGAATTCAGACTTTTACTCTAACTAGTCTAAGGCTAAACTGAACACAGATAACCATTTCCCTTGCCAAGGATTAGTTTAGGAGTGGCTTATGACCCTGTGGCTAATTAAATGTAATGGGAAAGTCAGGGATCAGACTTCTGGGAGAGGTTTCCTCACTGATAAAAAGAGTGACAGAAAGAGAGCCTTCTTTCACTGAACACTGCTGTATCTTCATGGGATGTGCTGAACTCTGGAAGCTCATTTTATGATCATGAGTAGAGATAGCTGAGGGAAAAGTCAGCAAATTTAGCCCAGCAGGGCAAGAGAGAAGACTCTTGAGTAGATGTTGAATTAAACAGATCCTGAACAAGTCAACCATGTCACTTCTTGCTATGAGAGTATAACTTTTCCTTATATATATTAAGTATAACTTAACTGATATAGATACTCTTTAATTATAGGTGCTATTCAAACTGAAGTTAAGATTCAGGGTCTTTGTAGGTTTACAATGTAGGCAATCAAATTTGTGTTTTGAAAAATACTCTGAAGTGATTCTGATACCTTCTCATCTTCTTTCTAATCCTTTCCACCCTCCATTGAGAACCTCTGGAGCAAGATAGTTATGAAATTGAATGAAAGGACTTGGTGAGTGATTAATTATTTGTGGGGGTCAGGGAAAAGGAGGGGGTCTAGGTAACTACCGTGTTTCTGATTTGGGCAGCTAGGTAGGTGGTGCTGCCAGTTGAGGTTCTAAGGACCATAACGAAAAGAACAACTTCAGTTTTGTACATTCTTCATTAGAGGTGTCTGGGAACATTTGTAAAGTGATACCAGAAAGTAGTTGGAGGCATAATCCTGGAGAAATAAATAAACTACAGAACCTAGAGATTTCCTAGTTGTAGTTGAAACTATGGGTGTAGATAGGATTACTTACGGATATATCTTACTGAGCAGGGAAGAGAAGAAACTATGGAATTTCAGAGAACACCAGAACTTCAGTGTAGAGTGGAGGACAAAATGGTTGAGAAGGAGGAAAAACAATTATGATATCAACAATAACACATCTCATTTTGTCTTACATTTTTCTCAGATATTCAAAGACCTTTTTTCTAAGAAGAAATTCTAAGAACTTTGATCAAGATGTAAACTTTAGTGATTTTTTTTTTAAAAAGTAAATTCTTTCTTAAATGCTTGTTTTCCTTTTCAGTTGATCAATTTATGATGCTAAATGGTAACCCGATGCAGTAAATAATTAATATACCACTATAACACTAGCAATTGGCTCTCTTTTCTCTTACAAGATCAATTTCGTTGTAATGCTTATTACTAGAGATACACTGGCATGGAACCAAAAAAACGCCCAACATGTGAATTTTCATCAGTCCTTGTTTCTAGTCATTAATATGGTAGTAGAAGTGCTGTTTTAGGACATACACAGAAATACGTATTATTACCTCTTTCATTTTGCTGTCCATAATTGTGTATTCTATTCCATCCATTTTTTTTTGTTTGTTATTCCTATTTTTATCATTTTACATGTGTTAGCCAATATAATCTTTTGGCTTAAATATAAAATATTTTGGAGAGGTAGGAGGATTCTGAAATCCAAATTTTTCTTTTTTTTTTGGCTAAGGAATATTCTTTAAAAGCAAAAGTCTGTAGAAAAAGGAGAAATTGATAACTTCTGGAGAGTATTAAATTAAACCTTTCACATAATCTGTGGATGCTCACCTACAATTTCGTGTGTGTGTTTGTATATGTGTCATATTAAAAATACTGCGCAGTGAAAATACCAGTCTTTATAAACACTTACGTGGAAGTAGAATTTTCAATTAATATTACTGCTAAGAGGATCCATAAAAGCTATTTATATGCATTTTATGCCTCCCTCCAAGCCTCTCTCTTTTCTTTTTACACTTCAGTTTCAATAGCACCTGTAATTAAGGAAGAAAATCAAGCCCTGGGAGCTAGGTAGGACTTCCAGCTATTGATCTGTGTAAACCCAGTTTATACTGTCAGGGGAGAAACAGTCAACTGCTGAGCTGCTTTGTCACTGACATAAGCTGAGAGAGGATTTTTTTTTTGTCTATACTGTTTATACACTAGTCTATAGACCTGCTGGCTGGTTGAATTTTAAAGAGTGCGGAGGTTTAAAGACTTGTCCCCTGAGGGATGCTTCTGCCAGTTGGGAAGCGAGCTGAGGCTGTTTTGCAGAAGTGTGTGCATGTGTGTTGCTTGTGGAAGAAGGGAGGGGGAGGGCATGAAAGATTGGGCAACTAACTAGGAAGCATTCTTTGTAATTTGAGTCTTAAAATTAATGTGAAATATATTACTGATTTGTGTATTTAGAGGCAGACATTGCATTTTGAATATATATTCTTTATTGTTATAGAAATTATGTGGACAATTTTATAGTAGAAGTTCTGAATGGTGTTCACATGTATAATAAAAATAGTGAATGGTATTACTTTATGAAGCACAAGATAAGGATTAAGCAATGGTTAAATGAAAATGAACTGATCTCATTTGCAATGAACTGTTTCTCAGTTTACGGAATTTAACTTATTGCAAGTTTAGTGACCCTTTTAACTACATTTAACAAAATATTGTCAGTGGTGAAACAGTTGGCTTTCTCTTACTATGGAGTCTGTGCTCATACTTTTAAAGGTACATGATTATAAGCAATCCAGGGTATCCTGCCCTAGGAGAAGATTTTTGTTGTTTGTTTGTTTTGTTTTTAACAAGATTCTTTTCTTTCTGCTTGTGTGCGTTAAGGCACTTGAAGCTTTCTTAGGTATTGGTATTGAAATTTTATAATGCTTTATTTTTAGTTGACACTTTATTGTAGTCTACCTTTTTAAAAGAATGTAAGAAATTCTACTTTAAAACACTCAATACTGTATGTATGGGGTTTAACTATTCAGATATTGATAAATTCTGTAGAATTTTCTTTTCAATAGGAAATATCCTTATAAAACTCTTTGTCTTGTAAAATTGCCTGTCTTTGAAGTTGTATAATGTTGTCTTCAAGTTTAAAATTTAACTTTTGAATCAGACTTAATTTTAAGTTATTTTTCAAATATATCAAAATAGATTTTTAGCTGAAAATTATTGATATGTTGTAGTTGTTAATGTGTATGGTTTCTAAAAGATATTCAAATTATTTTTAATGACTGTAAAATAATTAAAGGTTTCAAAATCATTCAGATTGTTTTCTGTTTTATTGAAGCATTGATTTTCATATTAGGCAATTCTTAAATGAAAGTCCACAGAATAGAAGCTATATTTTTGAAAGCTTGTTTTTAGATACATATTTCTCTAAGAGTGTTAAGATAAAACTTAATACCAGAATTGAATCATGTAAATACGTTTCTTTGGCTATAGAGTGTCTCTCTCTTTTTTTTTTTTTTAAACGGTTTGACTATGGTACATGTAGAGTTGTTATACCTCTCGGTAATTCATTCTGCTGCCAACTTCATTCCCTTTTCTCTGCCTGCATTTTAATTGAAACAACATTTATATTTTTGAGCCAGGATCTGTCAGAAGTCCCTATGGCTAGACTGTGGTACAAGTAGCAGCAGACGTAGCTTACCCATATGGTGCGGTGCTTCTTGTAAAATCCATATGGCCTTGTTGAAGGGAATCCCAGCGGGGATGTGAAGGGTGTTAATACCCTTCAGGCCAGGCCTTCCCCCCCTGGGGTTTCTGTGGCATTGTCAGTGCAATCTGCCAAAGCACAAACTTAATTCCTTTTTAATAATCAATTATTTTAGTCTAGGAACCTGTGCTATTTTTCTTAAGGACAAAGAAAGTAACTTTTTTTTCCTAAAAAATATCTCAAAAAAGTTTTAACTTCATCTTAAAAAGTATTCTAAAACTAATTTGTTTAAAAATTTTCATTTGTAGGAAATACTACAGAGTGTGCCAAAGTTCTGTTTTCCCTTTGACGTTGAAAGGTACAGTATAAGTATCATTTAAAATAAATTTAGCTAATTTTAGTACATACTTTAAAATGATTAAATGTGCTTTTATATAACATAAAATGTACCTTCTCTTTACTGCTTTTCACAAAAAAACTAGAGATTGAAAGGATTGAAAATTAATTAATATGTGGAAGAGGAAGCCTTTTAAAATCACATCTTTTATTTTCTCCACTATGACCAGTTAAGACAAGTCGGAAAACACTATTACCAATAGGTTCAATTTTTTGCCTTTGTTCTCTATTCTTCAGGTAGAAATTGTGAGCACTAGTGGAAAAAAATATTAATATGACCTTGATCAGAGCCTTAGAATTATGTCTTAATATATGTTCCCTGGTTTCTATCTCACTTCATCCTAATTGTAAAGACCATCTGTGTCATGTAAAACTCATAGCTACTTGTTTCTCAAGAATAGCTTCATAGAATTCATAGAATTATGGAAGGCTATGGGGAAACTCTTCTAGTTTTGAAAATCTTATTTTTATATTTCACTGAACAAATACTGAATGATGACATTGCATACAGTTGAAATTTCATGGAATATATAGCCCTTTGAGCATAACAGCAGATGATTTGTTATTTTTCATGTGATTTTTAGACTCTGTTATTGGTTTTGTTTTTAAAGAGGGTGATATGAAGGCTTTTAGAAAGAATATTCTAGGAAAATACCTTGCTTAAGTAAATATTAGTGAGACTTTCTGATTTTACTGTATTAAAGATAAAGCCTTCTGAATGATGGACTAATCAGTACTGATAAGTATTCAGTAGGTTTTATCTTTAAAGTCCTCACCCCACCAAAAAAGTTACAAACTTCACATTAATAGTAAGGATAACATAAAGGAAGATTTAGGATCCAGCTACAGAAAGGATATTATGAACCTTGGGCACTAGAGGTCACATTTGTCACTAGAGGATTTTGTTTGTTTTTTAGGTTTATTAACGTGTAAGAAAACCTGTCTACTTAAAAGTGTATTTGTTAATGTTCAGCATTTGCAATACAACATTTCCTTACAAAACTTTTTGTAGCATTGATACTGGATACTGGCAGTAATTTATTTCCTTCTGCACAATTCCTATGACTATTTCAAAACCAAAGTTTAGGCTTCATGGATATTTTATTTTGGGACAAGGAAGCAAAAGTTCAGTTATGGTTATGTAATGGCAAGATTGCAACCAGTACTAGGAAAGATATTCATATATTTTAAATAGAAATAAAGATTCAATCTAATGTTTTATATTGCCCCTTATACCAAGGTGTGACACATATTATGGTAGTATGATACTTAAATTGACTAAAATTCTTTGTAGCTTAGCCAGTAAGCTTTTCTTCTTCGGTAGAAATTATATTCTTATTTTGTACTTGTAAATTTATTCCTCAGTATTATATTGATACCTCTACAAGAGAATCCTAGAAAAAAATACCAAGAGTATTTTTGTAGGGTACTTTATTGGGTGAGAATGTCAACAGAAGAAGCAATTAAACAGAGTTGGTGGTGGTTGCCATTAGATTCTAAAGCAACATGATTTGCTATCTAAGCAATTTTAGGATAATTAGGAAAAAGGCTAGAGTTGAAGAAAAAGACTTAGTCATCATGTCTAGCTTCTTCTACAGTTTCAGTAATACTATTTTGATAATTTATGAAATATGAGCACTTTTAGTCATGAAAATTTATGGCAGACTACCTTATGATTTCCTAGTGAGAGATTAATATGTGCTGAACTCTTCAGTCTATGAAATAGTCCACTTATTTTGGTGTTTGCCTTACATATTTCACACTTGTTTTAGTTTTAGAACACTTTTATCTTAAAGAACCAGCTGATTAGAAAGATGAAACCAGTGTCACTTATGAATCTACTCTTGCTTTTGTTTTTCTTGAAGAAAATCGTCACACAAGACATATTGTTTTATAACGTTACTATATTTTAGGGTGACTCAGAATCAAGTTGGACAGCACTTTACCTTTGTACTGACAGACATTGAAAGTAAGCAGAGATTTGGATTCTGCAGACTCACATCAGGAGGCACAGTTTGTTTATGCATTCTTAGGTGAGTATTTGTAGTTTAAATAATGGATGCAAAATGAGTAACTGTATCTCTCTTTTGTGCTTTGTTATGCTTGGAATGAAAAAAAAACTTTTCTTTAAATCCAGGTAAGTTGAAAATAATTTTCCTGACTTTTTGTATACAGAATCAGTTAAGTTTAAAGATTTACCATTAACATAGTGGAACTTTTCTTGAAAGAATCAATGTTTTTAAGATTAGTTTTTATAGAATTATTTTTGGAAACTAAATATAAAAAGATGGATTCAAATAAGATATTAGTTTCACCTATTAAATGGAATGCAAAAAAAAAAAATCAGCTAAATTAAGGTATGCCTTTTTCTGTCACTGAACAAGAACTTAAATTTTTAAGTGAACTGCTGCTTTAAGACAGAGGCTGCAAATTGATGATACTGGTAGAAGTGTTTAGAGGTTTTCGTTTGGCTGCTGGGTGTTTTAAACTTTTTAAAGGATGTTAACCTTATGAATTTTTAGGAAGTTTTGTATATAGTCCATATTTCAAATTACTTTGGAAAAGTGAGGATATCTGCTAATTCTGATCCTGCACTCTGCTATGGCAACCATAAGCTGCAAATAGCAGATTTTTAGTTGTGTCATGAGCTTGCTAGTTTCCACAGGTCCTACCTGTCCTGCTTAATTGCGTACTTTGTCTGCCTTGATTCAGTAGGTAGTTGACAGTATGTCTCTTGCTTGTGGATTTGGGATCTGAGTTGCTGGCTGTTAGGAAGAAAGGGGTCTAAAGGTTAGCATCCTTGTAATATGTCCTGATGAATCAGAAATCCAGATGTAGTCTGTAAAAATAGGAATCTATGCTATTATTATGATATGGATATTGGCCAAGCTAGATTTCTTAAAAATGCTTATAGGAAAAGAAAATACAATTTATGAATTATCATATTACAAGAAAACTTTGGTATAAAATCAGTCTTCCTGTTCATTTGCTATTAATATTTATCTACATTTATATCACTCATGGATAAGTCATTAATTTACTTAGAACATTCCTTAGAGCTGGAGAGTTTATTTCAGTCTTTATTAAAAATTAAGTGCTTAACTGCTATATAAGTAATAGAATTGTAACTGTGCCCCCATTCTCTCTTTAGCACAACTTTTTCATCTGTGTAGCAATTGTACTTAAAACTTAACACTTTATCCAAAAGAATGTCATGCTTGAAACTGTAGGTTAATTTTTTGAACTTAGAGCAGGTTAGCTGAGCAGTGGGAGTGGAGATGACACGGGGCAGTGGTGGGGAGAGTTCCTTTTACCATTATTTCATCTGAAAGTTCAAAAGCTACAGTTTAAAGGGGAGCATAACTTTATGCACTGTGCCCGAGATGGATTTGCCCAAATGGAAAGACCAAAGCTATGATTTCTTATTTTTCTCAATGAAGTTTTGAAACTTTTCATTAAAAAAATTCAGATTTACAGAAAAGTTTTAATGGTAGTGATCTTTTATAAAAACATTACCTAGATTCATCAGTTGTTAGCATGCACTTCTCTTTCTCCCCACTCTCCTGTTCTCCCCCACTCTCCCTTTCGCTCTCAATACACACACATGTACACCCACACCCACACAACACACACACCCACACCCCACACACAACCTCCCTACGCACACACACACCACACACATACACACACACACACACACACCATTATTGATTTTGTGCACTCATTTGAGAGTACATTATAAACATCATTTTCAGGTAAGATTTGAGTCTGATTTTGTAGCTTACCTCACTGCCTCCAGACTGACCTCCTGATATTTATAACTTAAAAGTCTGAGCCTTTTGTTTTGAACTCTTAAAATACTTTGAATACATTGAACTTATTAATTATTCACAAATAATTATTGAATGTTTAGAATAGTTTCTATAAATTTCTGCTTAAATTAAGAATTTAAAATTCTAGGAATTTCTGTTTAAATTAAGGGAAGCCATCATTACTTGAAAATATTTATACAAAATGTGAAATATAACTGTGAAATGACTGAAAGATTAATACAGTGTTCATATTGACAGTTCAATTGTTATTAATTTATAGGAAACAAAATCTAAAGCAAATACAATAATCAAATTATTTTTATCTGTGATTCTAAACTTGTATCTATAGAAGAACACCTGAATGTTTTGGTATCCTCTTTGAAGTAGGAATAGTTTTTACCTGCAGAAAATATGATTATATTATATAAACATAATGAAAACCAAAAGTAAAAAATTATGTATACCAGTAAGGAGACCATTTTACAATAAGCATTATTTAAAATATCTTTTATTTAAAATATTTTTTTCTCTTATATTTATTTTGTCATTTGACAGTGCTTTTGGTAGATAAGAAATAGGAGGTGTCAAAGCTTTATGAAAAAATCATAGAGGAAAATCTTAAATTTAGAAAAATCATAGAGGAAAATATTAAATCTTAAATTTAGAAAAAATCTTATTTTCCTAATAAATTAGAAAAACATTGCCATTTTAAGATTTTAATGGTACATCTCAGTATTTTCCCTGAAAGTATGTGAAGGGATTCTTTGAGAAGAGCTGATTAAGAGAATAACCAGTAAATTAGATAACTATTTAATTTTAATAGTTAATGGAGGAATCAGTTATCATGGAATTCAGCATCTTATTCTAAAAATTGGAAAATTATAGTTAGGTAAATGTCTGTTTGTAAGCTATAATCAGTGTGTCTCCTGGAAAGGAATTTTGACTGATTTCTGTAAGTGCAATACTAACTGGAATTATGGTGCTTTTGGTCCCAGTTTAGCCACCTGGTTTAATGGTCCTTCACCACTTTTAACTTTCTAATTGTTGAAAGGATGGATAAAACTCTAAATGTTAACTAGAAGAAAAAAATTACTGTGGCAGTGAGAGCCTACCTGGAATCCCTAACATATTTGTGTATTTGAGCACATAATAATGAAAATGCTTGTATGGTGACAAGTATAATAAGAAAATTTAAAATGCAAATAATAAACTAGTGGAAATATATTTACAACCACTATAAGAAAGGGCTAATAGCCAAAACACATAATAAGCCCTACAAGTTAATAAGAAAAATAACCTGATAGAAAAATAAGTAAAGCATCTGATAACTTACTTACAGAGGAAACATAAATAACATATGTAGCTATGAATGATGCTTAGCCTTATTGAGGGTAAGAAATGAGCCCATTAAGATTGTCAGAATTGAAAAAAATTTTAAATAAGCATGAGAGAAAACACACTTCATGTGCTGTTTGAAGTATTATAAAATGGTATAAGCTTTTGAAGGAAAATTTAATAATGTCTATTAGAATAATATCTCATATTTATTCACTCAGTAATTTCATTTCTAGGAATTTAAATCCCAGGATTATTTCTAACAGTGAGCAGAAAAGTGTGAACAAAGGTATTTATTACAACATGATTTATAGGATGCAAAAATGCTAATTAGCTAGATTTAGTCATTCCGCAGTGTATATATAATTGAAAACATAATATTTTCAAGTATACACAATAATTACATAAAATTTTATCTGTCAATTTAAAGAAATAATAAAAAATAAATTTAAGCTGGGTGCAGTGGCTCACGCCTGTAATCCCAGCACTTTGGGAGGCTGAGGTGGGTGGATCATGATGTCAAGAGATGGAGACCATCCTGGCCAACATGGTGAAATCCTGTCTCTACTAAAAATACAAAAATTAGCTGAGCATGGTGGCTCACGCCTTTAATCCCAGCTACTCAGGAGGCTGAGGTAGGAGAATCACTTGAACCCAGGAGGCGGAGGTTACAGTGAGCCAAGATTGCACCACTGCACGTCAGCCTGGCAACAGAGCGAAACTCCATCTCAAAAATAAAAATAAAATAAAAGTAATGACAACATGAATGCCTCTCAATAGGAATTGATTAGGTATATTATGGTACATTTTCAAACCTCCTCTCTGTCCCACAACCCCTTCCTTTCTCTCCCACCAGAATGTTATCTCCATGAGGGCAGGGATTTTTCTTTTGTTTACTTACATATTCCCAGTGTCTACAATAGTACCTAGCACATAATTTTTAATAGATTTAATAGATAATTATTGAATAAGTAAATGGATGATTAATACAATTTTTTTTTGCTATTAGAAAAAATCTACACACATATGCACCCTGACTTAGAGAAATGTTTATAATCTATTGTAACATGAAAAATTTCAAAGTAATGTTTATAGGATGTTCTTATGTTTGTAGAGAACAAGTTATACATGTATATAAATATATATGTATTTTTAAGAAATAGCTAACACATAAATATTTAGAGGTTAATATATGAGTGTATGTACTTAGAAAAAAGTCTAAAAGGATATACCCTCTATTATTTTTTACTTTTTATGCTTCAGCATTTATCTACTTCTTACATAAGCAAAAATCATTTCAATTTTTTCCTTCTCTAAAACTTTGAGATGTTATTATATAGATAATAAACTATAAATATGGAACTATAGGTACTATATTAAAAATTAGTAGGATTTTTTTTTTTTTTTTTTTTTTTTTTTTGAGAAGGCTTTTTACTCTTTGTTGCTGAGGCTGCAGTGCCATGATATGATCTTGGCTCATCACAATCTCCTCCTCCTGGGTTCAAGCGATTCTCCTGCCTCAGCTGAGCTGGAATTACAGGCATGCCCCACCACGCCCGACTAATTTTGTATTTTTAGTAGAGATGGGGTTTCTCCATGTTGGTCAGGCTGGTCTTGAGCTCCCCACCTCAGGTGATCCACCTGCCTCAGCCTCCCAAAGTACTGGGATTACAGGCGAGAGCCACCGCACCCAACCAGCTAGATCATTTTTTGCAGGTAAAATATGTGTGTGTTTTCAGGATGGGAAATTATCTTATTAGTATGATTTAGTATAGGTACTCTATACCAGTCAGGTGATCATGGTGATTTAGCAAATTAAGAATGGGAATGGGACAGTTTTATTCTGTGTCCTTGAAAATTGGAATTTAAAGAAAAAAAATATTGCT